TGTTATGTTAAACTTATATTAAAGTTTTTCTTCATTACCCATTCAAGCCGTCTCCAGCCATTATTACTCAGTAAATGATTTACTCTGCTTCTTATGTGTGTGCAACAAATTGTGTACCATGCACTTTGGGAAAATTAAAATGCTGCACACCAAATGTACTGGCAGTTGTCTCAAAGTGTCTTTTGAACTTTCCAGATTATTTGAATAAGTAATATATAGTTGTCATGAAGTCTTTCATATAACTAAATGATTTAGACAGACTATTCTTCAATGCCAATCCAACTCTACGAGAAATGCAGTGAATGCCTAGAAGCCAGAGACGATCATCATTTTTCAGTTTTGTTAACATTCCATTGTAAACTCCAGTATTAACAGAGGCTCCATCAGCTGTAGTTGAAACTAGCAGTTAAGTGTACTTCTCTGCTGGAACTGAAAACTTTCCATCACCTTTGAATGCAACATCAATGCTCCTCTTTAGATTACTTGCATCTGCATTATCAAAGCTATCAATGTCCTATAAGGCAACAAAGAAATAAACTGGTGTACCTTCATCGACTATTCTCACTTTTATTGCCCAACTTTTATCACTAAGCACTGCAAAATCTATTGCTGAACATAAAAGCACTGCTACTTTCTCATAAATGGGTTCTACAATAACATTAATAAATTATTTCACTCTTTAGGCATTATCAAAATTTGAAATCATTTGTACCCTATTTTGTTTTTGCATTTTAGAGTTTGAAATGACAACTAAAGCTGTCCAACTACAGCAAGCAAATAAGATGTTTTAAGAAGCTTTCTGTATGCCTCCTTAGTTTGTGCTGGAAGCAAAAGGCCATCACTAGCAGTACCACTGGTGCCAGGAAGAATCTTCTCATTATCTTCAAGCAACTTTTTGAAGTCTTAAAAGCATAAATGTATAAACATATAAATTTTGCAATAAAATTTGTAATAAAACAACTTAATAACAACAGCAGAGCTTGAATTAATAAAATATATGGACAGTAGAATCTAGGTAAAATATAATCCTGGTGACAGATTACACATTTACCAAAAGTTATAATCTTTCTATACTGAAATGTATTTCTGATAGGTACTTATCTCCCTCACATAAATAGTTATTCTCATTCAGTGTTTCAATCTATATGCAAAAACATTTTTCACATGCCACAAGTTTTGAAGCTACCACCCATCTTTGAATTGACTGGTTAAAATGTGTCTCGCATGCAAATCATCATGTGACAACCCTCCACCAATAACAGTGCAACACATTCTCTTGAGGCATTTGACTCCCTCTATCACTTCGAGTTTTGGCAGAAAATGGAAGCACCAGTTTTCAGTGGGGAGGAAGTGTTATCAGAGGTAACTACCTATCGGAAGTACCTTTCACTTCTTTCCAGATCTTCTTGCTGTATTTAGCACAAAGCTTGTATTAAATTTTTGTTATAATGACTCTTTTAAGGTGTCCTTTGCAGAAGAAAATCCAATTTGTCCACCAAAATTCCATTTGCTGAATGTTGGCAACAAAACAAAGTTTTGCAGGCTAAACTGAGGCATGTTTACAATAGAAAGCAGAACCAGAAATGAACTATGATTAGCTCGAATCAGTATGAGAGCCCTTGCAGCCTTGTGTCATGTCAGTAAAAAAAAATGTGCTACTCCAAGTATTTTTTGTACAATGGAAGCATGTGAACATGTCATTTTTCTAAGTGTTTACACAGTATGCCAACCAGGAAAAACCTTAAAAGTGGAAAGAAAAATGTTTTTATTGTTTTTAACCATTTACTTAAATTTGTGAAATTGTACCTTTTGGGTTGTTTTACACCTCCTCGTTTTCCAGCTTTCAATCTTTTGGACCTAGAATATAAATCAAATCAAGCATTAGAAAGTAAGTAAATAAAACATAAGTTGATCAGTCTTAAGTTACCCTTTGTTTGTTCTCATGAATGAAAATCTTGTATTCTAAACCTAACAAACTTTTAAATAATAAATATTAGTTTGGACATTTAAAAACTTCTAATAACAAATTTTTTTAAATCTTGTAAAATTGAGCTGTAAAGTATATATATATATATTGTCATTATATATACAAGGTATTCACTGATTTCAAATGGGTAAAGTTAGCCCCATCAATAACTACAGGTTCAAGCATGAAAATGTTTATGAAGTTAAAGTTAACATTTCCTTATCTGAAAATGTATTTCCAGTACATACTCACCTCATCACACAAAATAGCTTGATTCCTCACACATTTGCCTTTCAGATTTACATGCCATTAGCCTTGAGCTAACTTCCACCTCATGTGTTTTTAGCATTAACTGCACTAGTGTATGATGACATCATTATTCAATGATAGCCCTTGAACAACAGGGAAGCAATAGAACCTCCTTGACCCCAAGCACCCACTTAGTGCTTGTGATCAAAGTAACTTCACTCTCAGATGAGGAAAAAGAAAGTGCGCAAGAAGTGGGGAGGATGGGTGGGAAGAGGTAAGAATCTATTGGAAATACATTTTCATGTAAAGAAAATGTTAATTTCTGAGATGAAACCTCACCTCCAAACACAGAATAGCTAGAATCTCACACTGAAATGGTGGAGGGGCCAGTGCTAACATAAACCTTTAGAAATCACCTAAAAGAAAGCCCATGGAGAGTAACACCCAATGACAGGGGCTTCATAGGGGCACACCTCCGGGAAATCTCATCTCATTTTGACCAGGGTATACTATTCACATGGAAGGAAAAGAGGGAAATTCAAAATAGCCCCAGGTGTTGCAGTGATGGGCAGAAGGTTTCATGACCAACTGAGCACCTGTACACAACTGGTCAGTGAGCTAAGAAGAGTAGCATGGTTAAGACACAATCAGACCTTACAGTGTGTATCTGACCTCAACTCAACTGGACAGACAGAGACAAGGGTGAGGATTCCATCCTGCTGCAGGGAAAGGCACAATAGCTGTTTGAGGAATGACAGTGCCATCTACTTCCCACTGTATTGTGCTGTATACATTTAATTAGGAACTCTCCAAGATCCACCATCCCAGTGGCTAGGAAATGTAAGTGGCAAGGGTCTCCTGTTCTCCACTTGAAGAAGAGGGAGAGAATTTGTGTTAGGGAGACTCGGAGAAGTGCCCAGATCCTTAGCAGACACCTGCCAGAAAGTCGTTCACTGGAGACAGTGCAATGGGTGACCACAAAACCCTATATTTAAAAGCCAGCAAGCATGAGCCAAAGAAGTGGGCAGGGACTTTGCTGGTGCTGGGTTTTTTCCATGCTAGTCCATGGAAAGTACAATCTGGATTAGGCAATTGAGTAATTGTAATATCACAAGGATACCTCTAGTGGTCTTGTGGAACACCCCATATTGACAGTGGGAACTGGCAGAGCCAGGGTGAGTGGGTTAAGTGGTTTCTGTTACCCCTGGCTCAAGACAGATTTTGAGAAATAAGCATACCCTTGGAGACAACACCAGCCACCTAGCAGGATCCTATAAGAGGGAAGAGGGTGAGACAAGAGTAATGTAAAAGAAAATGTATTTACTCTTCTCAAAGATAATGAGTAGTTTTATTAAAGAACAGTGACTGAAGGGAGTCAAAATCCTGCAGGGGACAAAACAGCCAGATGATGAAAATAATGGGAAACAAAAGTGTATGGATTTGTCCACACACCGGCCTGAAGGTTCTCATCCAAGGGTTGGTGAAAATGAAATGCAAGAATGAGACAGTTGATGAATCTGATGCGATGAAATGTGAAATAAATACCACCCAAACAGCTGAAGTCTCAGGAACAAAAGGTCCAGTATGGGTTGAGGAGGAAGTAAGTATGGTGAAAGAGAGTGTGGGAAGCATTGATGTTATATACGTCTGAACTAAAGCAACCACAGGTGAGAAGGAGAAGGAAATGTTTTATCAGAAAAAGATGGCATAATGAAGCCAATGACTCAAATGCAACACGTAAAACCACATCAAGGTCCCAGTCAGGTACAGGAGTAGGATGAGGAGGTCAGTGAAGAAGGAAGGATCAGAACAAAGTGAGAGGAGAGAGAAAGAAGGAAAAAACTGATGGGAAAGAAAAAATGTAATTTATAAATCATCCAATAACCAGCAATAGTGGAAACAGACAGTTGAACAACCAAGTCAAAAAGGCTGAAAGGTGGGCCACAGACAGATGACCCAGAGGAAGGGAGTGGCTGATAGACAGAGTCGATGGACAAGATGAATAGGATAAGAAAAGGCTACATGACTGGATAGTCAATCCCTGTAGGCAATGGACCAGACAAGTCCAACATATGATGATGATGAAGAGACAATACACCTGGGTGAAAGAGGGATGTTTGTCATTAGAGCAAGAGAGAGCAGGAATGGGGCAGAGAAGGGCCTGGATACCAAATGATGAAGGAGAGGAAATCAGGATTGCACTGGCCAAAGAGATGCCACCAACAGGACCTGACAAAGAGTGTCTTATATCAAAAGAAGACACGAGTGAGAAGACAAACAGAAAGATAGGCATACAGACCAGTCTTGTCTGAGATCATCAACCATCAGGACTAAAGGATGAGAAACTGGGAATCAGAAGAAGAGAAGTTTGTATTGAAAAGAGTGAGAAAGGCAATGATAAGAGAAGAACCCAACTGAGAGCAAACCCAATAAAAACCTGAGGGTGTAGAGACCACTCCATGGATGAAACTCTGTCCAGCAAAGAGAAGAGATCTGCCACCAAGTTCAAAATCCCTGGCAGATGACAAATTGTCTTCTTGGGGATCATAAAGAGAGAGAGAGATGAGAATAATAACCTGGACTAGGGGTTTGTATTCTCTCAAAAGTATTCTTGACCAAGAGATCTGAGACTGCCTCCTCAAGATGCTGTAGATAAACGGAATCGTAAGGAGGAGGAAAGAAAACCAGAAAAAAGAGAAGAAAGAAAAGTGGAGAGAAAGGCCATGAGTAAGAACCTGAAAAAACCATTGTTGGCCAAAATGAAGATCAAAGTGGAAGTTACTGTCACTTAAGAATTCATTATGGTAGGTAATCACCTGAAATTAAATAAACCATGCTGGTTATGTGAAACACAAACATAAACATGTAAACTTGAAAAAAATATTAACTCAGTCATAAATTATTGCAAATCTCAAGTAATTAATTAACAATGTTGGAACACATCTGTTCTAAACAATGCCGAAGAAAGGAATGAAGTTAATTTGAACGCAATTGTTTAGCAACAGAGCAAGGAGGTTATATCACCCTCCTACTGGTGTAGGGCTATTGTTGCATTATGATGGCATCATGCATTAGCACATTTTAAATTAAATGTGTTTCTTGGGTGGGAGGTAGCTTAATGCTAGTGACACGCACATCTAAGGCATATATAAGAAAAAAATCACACTATTCTGTATGATGAAGTGAGGTAAGGTATCATCTCGGAAGTAAAAAAGTTTCATAGCATTAAGCAGTATAAGTAAGGCTGATAAGCAACTATTTAAATGTAAAAGTAGAAGTCTTTAGAAGAGCAAACTTTTTCAAAGAAAAGTAAAGCATAAGCTCATATTAATTAACTTTGTTAATATTTACTCTTTTGCAATTGCATGTGTTTGTGTAGAGAAAATGATAGATACTATGTACTGACAAATGTTTTGTCAATATTCTACATACCAAAGAAAAAATACAATAACAAATGCCATTTAATACACATAACTGATGACAATTTAAAAATAATATTTCAAAAACAGTAATGACATCTTATATATTAGACCTAAAAACAGGCAAACTTGTCAATGTTAGAATAGGTTGTATAAAAACCAAACAATTATAATAAAAGTGAAGAAAAGATTCAGCACACACACATATAAAGAAAGCAAGCAAGAAAGTTCTTTTAACACTTTCACTAAGGGTATCTTTTTCTGTACATGTCACAAGGTTTTAGTGAGTTACATTAAAGTTTAATAAAACTATTTTATTACCATGGTATTTAATAGTATATAAGTTCTAAGTTCTTAATTTTATATGGCATTACTTAAAAAAGTCCTGAATTTCCCCTAATTTCTCTAATTTATTTACCACCCCTCCAAGAAGTACAAAATGTAAGGTAAATTACATATTATAATATTATCATTGCTCAGGCAAAACATAATTTTTATAGCCTTCAATCTTATTTAGTTACAGAGCCATAAAATAGGAAATCAGACTCCTCTTGACACACCCATCTGTCACATCCTCTATTTCAGAAATTGCCAATAGTTCTCTCTGATATTTAATACTATATTATTTATAAACAATTGAAAGCCAAAGTTTTGATTTATCAAATGACATATTATTATGTTGTTTTCTGTACAGAGAATTGTCTATTTCACTTCTAGTTCAAACTTTATTCCCAAGATAAGCACATTGACGAGCTTAGTTGAATTTTTAACAACTCTTGTCGCATAGTTAGAAAGCCATAAATATTGTGATAGCTATGGGACATTGACTACCTTTTTGCATGCAACTGTTCTTTGTGCATTATTTAATTAAATAAAAAAAATGGTTAATGCAGTAATACTATTAGTTTCATCAACAGTCAACAGCCAAAAAAAAACAACAAAAGACAACCCAGGTGTATTCTTTATCTATTCTTATAAAAGTAACTAAAACGCAAAAATTGGGAACCTTTTAGGTTAGATAAGGTTAAATTAAGCAAAATAGAGAATAATAACAAGAAAACTTTTTCATGAGGCACACTTGCAAGTAGTCCATATATCATGCAATAGGGTAATGTTAGCTCCATATTTGCCAAGTGATTTACAAATTTTATGGCAGGAATATCAGTTAGACATACTTGAATGGGCAATAAAACAATAACATTTAAGTATAAACAGGTGTATACTGTTACGAATTTAAACAAATGTAGTTTCATGTTACAATTTGAAGTTATTATAGAAAGAAAAAAGGATAATTTAGATTCCTTTCAAATTTTGTTTTGGCAGTTACAAGGTCAGTCAATTTGACTGACCTCATATTGAGTTAGGGTTGAGAAATAACCCATAAAATATAAAGTTTTACTGCAAAAAAGTTTGACATTTATTGACGAGGTTTTAGAGATTAATCTTAACATGAAAATCACTATGCACTTGGAGCAGTCAATGCTTTGATTCCATATATTCATGGAGAAATTTTTAATTAAAATCCTTCATTAAAAATTCAGATTTTTTTGTCTACAAATGGCTTTTAATGATTTCTAAAAGCTTGTGAAGATACAAAAAATATTAGACGTTATAGTATGGAAACTATAAATGTCAATTAGCCAATTTGACTGAGCATTTAGAGAGAGATTTAAATGATACAAGTTTGAAGTTGATCATGCAAAATACAATCCATAATAGGAATGAATGATGCATAGATTTCTTTATCATCCACAGAAACTTTATTCTCTAACTGCACTCATTATTCCTTTTCCCAGAGGCTTAGAAAAATTACATAAACGTTAATAACGGTAAGTAGTGTCCAGAAAAAAAACAAAATATAAGAATATATCATATAGTCAATATCTAAGCTAAAAATTGTTATTCTCAGAATATCAATGTCAAGAACCAAAGTTTCAACCTGAACAGCACCTGATGCACACACAGATGATCATTTTTGCAAACCTTTAGAATCTATGTATAACTAAACTTTAACTACTGACCAACTAAGAGGATTTACTGTCATTTTCATACTTTATCTGTAGCTGAAATTGTGGAACATGTTCAAAAATGTCAGGATGAAAATTATATTGTAATAATTAATGCTCATATTCATATGACATATGAATATGAGCATCTCTGAAACCTCTTGTAATGTCCAAAATACTTCCATGCCTGTGATATACATTACTGAACATGAAACCCTCTCCAACATGAAAATGGCAAAGCAACCAAGTACTGACGGGTCTGTATTGGCTTAGTTTTGTGTTTTTATTGAATTGAAAAATTATATCATGAATGTCAACTGTATGGCAAGACTGCTCATTATATTACATTAAACTTCCTTCCTCCTAAAACAGGCTATAACAATACATAGAACAACAGGTACAATGCAACAAAACTGACTCAGCATTTGGTCGACAATTATTTAAAATGTCTGTATTACAACATTATTCAAAAACTACACATACATAAAGTAATTTCACAACACCCTACTTTTCTAAAACTTGCTATATAGAAATATTCTATTAGTATTAAAATACTCAACAAATTTTTACTTGAACCAATTGAATGCTAGCATGATTTTTAACAAAAATACAGCATACTAACCTCAAAACTCTTGCAGGTAGACCCAATTTACGCCTTTCTTCTGCATACTTTTGTTGCAGACGAAGAGCATCTACTACTCTATTACAAGTTAGCCCATTTTTCACTCCACATGATTTCAAGTGTGACTGGTATGTCTACAATTGAACAGATACATTTCATACATCTTTACTGTAGTTAAAGCCTTAGTTCAAACCTAGTACACCTACACAAATTTCATACACATTTCTCAAGTATAAAATTTCGGTACTAACTTGGAAAAAAACATTGAACTCAAATTAAAACATCCAGCTGATATCATTTCACTATTATATTATCATTTTCTACAAAAGCTTAACTGTACCTACTTCTGTAAAAACACCTTGGACACATCTTTGTACCAGTATCAATATACTGAATAGGCTGTCACTCCTAACATTTAACTAAATATTAACTAAAATTAGCATGTGCAGTATCGTGTATTTAAAAATATAAAAGCATAGACACCAAGGCATATTAGCAGTAGTAAATAAAATTAATATGACAAAAGAACTATTAAAAAAAAAGATATTTCAGTCTGATCAGATAGGTTGATTACAAGTTTACTTAGTAGACTTGGCAGTGCACTTCTCTTGTAGAAAACCCATCAGTTATTTGGAACTAGTAACAGAAATTCTTCAAAACTCTGTGCTTAAAAATATTACACTAAGGTAGCAACACCTAACACTGCCGATGTTTTTAACAATCTTAACTATCTAAATATGATTTTCTGGTATGAACAGTGCATTAAATAATTTCAATCACATTTTACTTTAATGGAGGTTGCTACTTCACCTTTTGCTTATTACTACAGCTTATTAGAGCCAGCTGAATTAGAACTCTCAAAATCACAATTTAAGCATACACAACATAAGATGACATGGTATGTTATGCCAAACATGACAAAACATGGAAGTTTTACATAAACAACGAAAACACATTAAAAGAAATCATAAAATATTCCGACATTTGTAATTTCCAAACAGTTGGTAGCTTTGAGGAGTTCGTGTTTCATCGGCTTTATATTTTTATAGACTAGATACATAAATATAATAACATTTAAATTTCCACATTTTTTAGACTTATCAGAGTTGATAAAGTTCCAAATACATAGCTTAGTAGTAAGTTGACAAACAACAATTTACTATTGCATTAGCATAGTGTGCTTCCATATACAAGTATGGAATAAATATCATAAATCCATATTTTCTCAAAAACATTAAAATGTAATTATCTGTTCATAAGTTTTTAGAGAACTTAATAGCAAAAAGCTCCTCACTGTGAAACTCTGGGTTATCACACACACATTAAAGATAGTAGTTTTTTACTTTTTTTCATCCACTATCTTTTATCAAATTAGTTGAAAGATTAAAATTTCTACATTATTGAATCAATGGGACTGGTATAAAAACAAGTCAGTAATTTAAGATATAATTGTAAGTCTTCAGAGAGTAAGAATAGTTTTAAACATAAGTGAGAAAAAACTTAATTTGTTTGGGATTTTACTTAGAATGAGCCAACACCACTACAACAGAAATTCACAATATTATGGATTAATCATACACTTACAAACCAAACACCAGTGTGGCCACAGCATATTAACATAATAAGGACAACAGATCATACATTTACAAACCAACCCGCAGTGTGGCCACTGTCTTAATATCAATAAAGGTAATAAACATTCCACTTACAAAACATTTTACTACTTCTATTAAAACTTACATTATCTGATGCAAAACACTTAAAACATAATGGGCAGTCAAAAACAGGTGTTTTATTCCCAGAACCAGTCTCCATTCTGTACCACTGATTTTGGCATGTGAAATTACAATCAATACATCTGAAAAAAAAAAGGAGGTGAAATAAACAGTATAATCAAGAAATCATTTTGCTACTGAACAGATTCAAACACTAAAAAAAAAGTGCAAACAGGCTTTCAAAATGTAATGGTTTTCTACAAAATTACAATTAATTTAATAAAAATTAACTGGTTTAAGTGTTTCATTTCAAATATTTAGAGGTTACCACTAATGCACTTACAGTGTTCCATAACTTACATCTTCATACTGTTTATTATAGACAAAACATTGACAAAAATGTGTGTCCTTTTTATACATATTCTGTACTGTTCAGTATATCCTTATATTTTTTAATGTTAACAACAATTCAACTAACAAGTTTTTAACAAGTGTTCAGAATTAATTACTGCCTATCAAATGAGCTTGAGAACTTGTTATAAAAACAAAACTTTCAAATGAACTTATTTATTGGGCTAAAGATACTAAGAATTCACAACTCATACTTACACCATGGTTTTTTCTATTTATGAGCAGATTTAAACAAAAACTTTAATCAATTAAGTTAAACATTTGGCAACAGCATATTCATGTTATTTTGTGGTAAATTTCTGTAAATTTTAGACACATCCTGAGTGAGAACTGTCTTAACTGCTAGCTGGTAAGAACTATGATGCAACAATTTTTTTTAAATTGGGTAGGTTCTCATGTTTTTGCATTTTTCCTATTGTCAAATCTCTAATGCCTTCAGACATTTGTGAGCAAAGTGAAGGTTACTATATGTACTTATCCACATTCAGATTTACTTTCTTTCATCTGTTTCGAAACTGAATTATGCCATTGAGCCAGTGTGACATCCCTATGGAATGTGATTAGTATTATTCAGAAGCATTGAAATTCATGTTTTGGTGAAGAAGAGAAACTAAATAAATGACCAGTTAGTTCATTGAATAATAAGGGATAATGAATTGTGACAGTAGGTTACATGTTACTAACACTTATAGTATAATTGGTTATCAGTGCGAAATAAAGGACTACACAACAAAATCAAAGAAACAGTTCATATTTCACCATTGTATGAGGCCTACTTTTTTATTTGCTTCACTCTTCCAAACAGCATGGAAAAGCTACAAATTCAGTGAACTTAGTCTGCTACATCTTTTTTTTTTTTTTTCACTAAAATCCACATTTTGGTGAAGAAAACAAATTAACAACTACGCAATTATACCTGTTTAAACTATCACAACTTTCTAAATTAACAGTTAGGTCACATGTGAATTATTCAATATTTTATGAGTCTAATAGTTTGCAAAGACAATCACTTATATATACTTGACACAGTGTGTGAAAGTACCACATCCCCACAGGGATATTTAAGTTTTCTGGTTCTAGTGGAAATTTAAAAGTAAACCTGTACTAGTAAACACAAGCAGACATAGGAAATAGCAGTTAATTTTACTGCATAATAATGGATCACACACACACACACACATAATGGGTAGTAATACATGCAAGTCATTTAGAGAAACTTTTGGGTGCTACTATAGCGTGAGGTCTACCGCCATATGTCGCCTACCCAGGTGCAGCCTGAGGTCTATCGCGTGATGGCCTTTCCATCTGAGAATAGGGCACACAAAATTCTGCCCAGTTGCCTTTTTCCCTGTTCTAACTTTGGGCAAATATTTCATATCTCTCCAGGAAAGCATCCATGTCATTATTCTGTTTATCAAATTTGGGCAGCTTAGGTCAGTTGGCCCTAACTCCATTGTCATTCTTCGGTTCTCAATCTTTTTGTTGGATGAGCCTGGCAATCTCAATTTGTGCTCTTATTTTCTCTATTTCAAGTCTCCTATTTTCTTCTTTCTCTATTTGGATTTGTATTTTATGCTCACATTCTTCTTTCAGTCTTTCTCTTTCTACCCCTCTTCTCTCCTCTATTGAAGCTCTTCTCTCTCTCCAAGTCTTGTTGTTGTTTAACCTTATCTGCTTCGGCATCATTTAATGCACATGTCACGAGGTTTTAGTGGCTTACATTCAAAATGTTATTAAATTACTTTTTGTTTATGTTATACCGATTAGTATAGCATAAAATCTTAGCTAATAATCCATATTTTAATAGTATATAAGTTTTAAGTTATTAATTTTGTAAGGCAATATTTTTAAAAAATCCTGAATTTCTCAAATGGTGAGCCATCCCATCTTCTCTGTTTTATTCACCACCCCTCCAATAAGAACGAAATTTAACGTAAATTACTCACTTTAAAATCGTCATTGCTCGGACAGACCATAATATTTTTAGCTTTCAATTTTGTTTGGTTACAAAGCCATCAAATAGAAAATCAGACCCCCTCTTTCCACACCCACCTGTCACATCCTCTCTTTCAGAATTTATTAATGGTTCTTTTTGACGTTTAATTCTATATTATCTATAACCTATAGAAAGCCAAAGTTTTCTTCAGAACAGAAAATTGTCAATTTCATTTTTAGTAGAAGCTTCATTCCCACAGACAACGACTAGCTTGGATGAATTTGCAACGGCTCTTGTCACATTGCTAGAAAGCCAGAAAAATTGTGATAGGTAGAGGAAATCCTCTGCTTTTTGCATGTTATTATTACTCAATGTCCTTTGGTGCATCCCTCCAGTAAAACAGCGGTATGTCTGTAGACTTACAATGCTAGAATCCGGGTTTCGATACTCATGGTGGGCAGAGCACAGATAGCCCATTGTGTAGCTTTGTGCTTAATTACAAACAAACAAACATTATTGGTGCATTTTGATTAAATATAAATTATTTGTGCATTACTACCATTAGTATAAAAAAGTAGGGTTAAGTGTCATCAACAGTCGACAGCAAAAGCAACTCTATTTCTTGTTTATTCTTTATTATAAAAGTGACTAAAATGTAAAAATAGGTATCTCTTTAGGTTAGATTAGGCAAAATAAATAGTAATGATAATACAATAAAAATGTTTCAAGAGGCACACACGCGAGCAGCTCGGGTAACGTAATTCCATAGTGTAATGTGAGCTGCACATTTCCCAAATGATTTACAACTTATAATGTCGCGAATAATAGTTATACATCTTCAAATGGCAATTAAAGGGCAATAAAACAATAACATTTAATTATAAATAGATGTATATATTGTTACGAGTTTATGTTACTTAGGATAAAGGGATGTAGTTTCATGCTACAATTTGAAGTCATTCTAGGATGAAAAAGAAGGTAATTTAGCTTTATTTCTATATTTTTTATGGTTATGAGGTCAGTCAAATTGACCAACCTTGTATAGAGTTAAGGTAGAGAAAATAACAGATAAAATATAGTTTTAATAGCAACAAACATTTGATCAAAATATATACAAGAACAATCGTATATACAATTGTGAATAGATAATGCCACTACATTTCTTTATAAGACATAAGTGGTGTTACTTGGAGACCTATGAACACAGTCTTAGGCACCACCACCACCAGCTAACATCGTGGTTGAAGCCATGCCTTAAATACATTGCTAAAAACCAAGAGTTTGCATTAATGGTTCAATCTCTGAGCGCAAGATACATTTTGGTTATGATTTATAATTATTTCCAACCAGCTGTAGAGATACTGGTTGGTGCCTAAAGGAGAAGTAACTGAAATCAGAAATGTAGCTAGTTACTTCAGTGCCAACGAATACATGACTCCCAGTACTTTTTCATCATGGCATCCAGCATCTGTAATCCACCAGCAACTCTAAAGCAGCTGGTGAAACTTGCATTACAGTGGGAACAATGTTTAATTAACATTGGCAACATTCTGATGTTTGATTAAGCATTTGAAGATGCAGTTAAAAATATAAGTATGGTATTTCATCGTCTGACACAAACATGTTTGAAATTGAAATCAGAGAAATGTTCTCTTTAGCAGATGCTTGTACAATTTATCAGATACTCGGAGAGTAGGAACAGTGTTTATGAATCTTACTAATTACAAACAGTAGCAGTCTAGCCTAAATCTATGAGCAGGATTCCCAAATGAGAGCATAACTACCAGAAAACTTGAGGATATATGGTCCACTCCATGGGAATGACCTTGTGGGGATGCAATAACCAATCTGCAACAAGATTCAAAGTACTGGGAATATGACAAGCCTAGAGCTGTATCTGGTGCTCACGTGAATAGGGGATTCAGAGTCTGAAAACAAAGGACCTGGCTTTGGTACCCATTGCTTCATGATGTACGACACAACTGTGGAGTTATCAGAATGTACCATAACAACATTCCCCCTCAGAAGATGGAGGAAATGAAATATAGCTTAGTTAAAAATTAAGAGCTCCAAAACGTTGACATGAAGCCCGGATACAGTCAACAATTAACTCCCAGAAATCTTCTGGGAATCGAGATATGCACCCCAACCCACAAGAGAAGCATCAGCAAAAAACATACAGGTCCGGACGAGGTGGAAGAAGAACACAAGCTGCAGTATTGTCTCTGTCCAAGCAATTAATCCAAGGGATCCGATTGGAAGTTCCATCAATCATGTAATTCCCACTGTGAACATGTGAGCACCACCAAGAGGTGTGAGAGCTTCCAAGAAAGCCCACATCCCAAAACAAATGGAACCTCTCGATCTGGAAAATAATGAGAATATAAGATCTTGATGACCAACTGCTCCATATCATAATGAGATAGTGGAGAAGGCTGAGCCCGACTGAGGTGGGAATTAAAGAAAACTCCCAAATGTAGAGGTACTGTGTAGAGGAAAGGATGGCCTTCTCCACTTTGATTAACCATTCCACATGAGATGCCTCAAACAGCTGTGGTCGAAAGATACCAAACAAGGAGTCAAAAGAAGCCAATCGTCCATATACTGATGAGACAGGTGTCCCAATGAATGGAAATGTCGATCAAAGATTTTGACTCCTCAATAAAACATGTAAGAAGCCAGGGCAAGACCAAATGAGAAGGTCCAGAACTGGAAAACATGCTCCTCGTAGGTGAACTGAAGAAAATGATGTGAGAATGGAGAAATGGGAATGTGATGGTATGCATCTGCCATGTTAGACTTGGTCATTCAAAGATCTGGAATGAAAATCCAAAAATAGGACAGAAACGACTCCATGGAGAAACGAGGAGGATTCAGAAACAGATTTAGATGGAAAAGGTCAATGATGGGTCTCCAATCCCCAGTCTTTTTGGGGGACAGTGAAAAGCTGAGAGTAAAAACTCAACTGAATGGGAAACATCAACTTGATAGCTTCCTTGAGAAGAAGGTCTCTCAGTGCCTCGGACAGATGGCTGCTAGAGACAGGATCCCTTGGAAGAGGGAAAAGGAACTGAAGACAAGGAAAGAGGAGGAGGCGACCAGAACTGAAGAGAAAGACCCTCTGACAAAACCCACTGAACCGACGGAGCAGTAGTGAAGGTCTTCCAACTGTTGACAAAAGGGTGGAGCCTGGCCGTCACAAGATCTGATTCCAGTGTGTAGTCAACTTTACCACTGTCGACGTTCTTGATTGTCACGGGAAAATGAGGGTAAAGACGAGAACATATGTGGGTAAAAGACAGGCATGGAAGCTGATGAACGGAAAACAGGAATTGTCTCAGGAGATGAGGAGGAAGGTTGTGATAAACGACTAGCTAGGGAAGATAAGGAAGTATGTAACCTGGCCACAATAACATGGAACAGCCCAAAACACTGTGTTCCACAAACATGGAGCCATACTTAAGTCCATGAGTAAAGATGGGGTGAGGCATCTCTTCCCAACAACAAAGCAGCCAAATAAGTAGGGAAATGGTCAAAATTGACCACAGAAGGGATCTGAGGTCCTCTGAAAAATTGTCGGATGAAAGATGAAAGGACTCAGATACAAAATGCACTGAGGAGAGGTAATGCAAAATGTTAGTAAGTGAAAGACGACTCCTCAAAGACTGTGCCTGTGAAAATGAAACAGAAGCCTCAGGGTTAGAACTACGGAGGGAATTGTTGAGAATCCAAATATGTATTTGATGAGTGATGTCAAGCTAAACCTGTTGGTCAGAAACTTGAAAGGATCAAGGCATATAAACCCCCCAATCTTAACTGTGATAAAAACTGGTGTGCATGAACTTCAATGTCAGGTGAAGAGGGAAACATTAAATAATCTGAGTTAGGAATCTCACACAAAAGGGAAGGAGAGACATAATAGGAAACAGAAGAAACATTCAAAATGTGAAAAACCTGTGTAATTAATTATGGAAAAGAAGTAGAAGGACGAACATCCTCCAAAGGTGCAGGATGTGGCTGCATGGCAAATAAAGGAATAGGTAAAAGCCGGTCTAAATCTTTCTCATCTGGAACAATCTCATCAGCCTGCAGAGTCACCAGCCATTGTGGAGAAGGCCCAGGCCTCATGTAAGAAGTCAACTCCCAACCAACCAAGGCAGACAACCTCAATCCTAAAGCTTGGGTAACAGAAGTTTGTGTGTCACCAGTAACTTTAGGATCCATGGTTGTAAATCACAGTAAATTACAAGTTATAAGAATATGAACCAAGTCCAAAATATCAGGAAAAAAATTATTGAAACCTTAAAGCAAGCAAGGAACACGTCTAACTTGTATTGTACCAATCAAGAAAGTGAGGTTCATGTAAATTAGTAAAGAGGGAGCCAGCGGCTCTATGAAACTGTGTCGTGCTTCTATTGGGGAAGGGTTGTCACATGCTCTGTGCATGCTAACAGAGCAGCTAAAACTTGTGGGGAATAAAGGCTAGTACATCAAGCGAGAAAATATCTTTTCAATGCATTAGAGGTCAGTGGAAGATCAAGAAAAGTTATTGTGTGAGAAGAGGTATGTATCATATCAGAATACTTTCTTTTGATGATTTTGTGAATACTATGCTGTTTGACGACTGATATGTTTGGTTAAGCCCAAACCTACATGGTAAAGTAATATAAAATTTACAGAAATTATGTATTATCAAAATATTCACATTGATTTTCAAAAAAGTTGTTATTAATAAACATTAGTAGGATTGCAACTTGTAATTTTTTTATATTAAAAATCTCATTTTGGCCAAAAAAATAGAAAGTTCATGTTCAGTGGTAAATTTTAATTAAATATTTATTTTTATATTAAAACTCACCTATAGATGCAGGAGAAGTATAAAATACAGGTTGATATTTAACATAGTATTGGACATACATTAGGTTCTCTAGTAAAAACTACATTTCACATTAATAGTTCTCATTCCTTTGTGGTGTAATTCTGATTCAAAAATTGTTTTCCCAAGAACAGTGACTTTAATAGCCATGTAGTAAAAACCAACATAAATATTAACAAGATAAACAAGTGAATGTGGATTAAAAGTTTTTAAACTGAAATACAGTCAGTTTCTATGTTAAAAAGACAATCACATTAGGTTAAAGCTTTCATAAGAAAGGTATTTTGAAGGAATAAAATCTGGAAATGGTAATAACATTAAATTTCAATACAAGTTTCATATAACAATCCTTACATTTTAAAATCAATAAGTTTTTACTTTTTAACTAAACTTCATATATTAAATACACTAAACACTTAGAATATTATCTTTAAAGCAACCTACAACAGTACTTTGATCACACTAGTGAAATTATGGTGTGCATTGCATTACTTTGTATCTACTATTTTCTCCCATAATTTCTAAGTTATTTGATTTAAATAAATTTCTTTATCATTCTAGCCTTAAATTTATATTTAAGAAAATCCATGCACAAAACAGATAATTTCCTACACATATACTTAAGCAGACTGGCAAATATATATATATATATGTTTTAAAAAACACTACCCTCTAGCATGAATTCTTTGCCATAAATAGTAAAAAGCATGCATGGTGTAAAACATTTTCAATCAAAATAAACTGCAGAAAAATTCCTAAATTTGACTTTTGAACACAAGTAAAGGAAAAATATCTATTATATTTCAGTCAGTGCTCTATATAGTTATATCAGAGGTATTGTATATATAGGCTGATAAACATATAAGCAGATACAATAAATTTTTCCCCTGTTATATTAAGATAAAGGAATATGGGAGATTATTTGGAATTGTGAAAATTTATGTGTACACTTATCTGATACATTCATCAGAAAATTACTGAATATTTTTCATGTATTTTTTAAACAATGACAAAAAACCTAAATCAAGATAAATATTTCATATATTTAATACAAGTTTACATTGAGACAGATTTTGTTTTTAAACCAAAAATATGCTTCTCAAAAATGTACATAAATTGTACTTCAACATTGCAATGAAAATGCAGATTTTTGAATTAAATCTACTTGATTTCACATAAATGTATCTCATGCAGGACAGTACATATTTGTATCTAGAGTACTTTGATTGGCCAGATGGAGATAACGACATCGAAGAACTTTTGCAGCTGCTTTTGGTTGTCTCTCTCGAGTAAAGATTCCTTTTTTGTTTCCAACAACTCTGTTTATTTCTAAAACGAAATTAAAACAATTAATGTAAAGACTTACACTTGAAAATTACAACAAAATTGATACATTACAAACACACTAGAAAGTGATATGATTGAATTAACATTCCACTAAATTTAACACTGTCTCTTAAGCTATACACTTAACTTTGGTGTTTTTCTTTTTTGTAGTGAAATAAAGTATCATTATATCATTATCATAATTTGAATTAATTATCAGTTGTTTCTCATGATACACTGCTATATCATTGAGCAATTATATCAATGGAACAATTTTCTTCTTCAAAAATAGCAAATCCTTGAAAAAAAGCAAAAGTTCTAGGAAAGTAGAGATGTTTGTGGGAAAACAAATTTTGTGCAGTGATTACTAAGTCCAGTCTGGAAGCATTTGTAAATATTTTTGCAACTGGTATGTCCATTAATGTGATTTAATAAACAGAATACAAATAGAAAAAGAAAATAATATTATATTTCCTATACTTTTATTTTGTTTGATGTTGTGTTTTAAATTTCATTATTATTGATATTGAAGAGATTTATATATTAGCAATTATACATCAAAGAATAGGTCATTATGCATAGCTATTTTGGTAATAACTACAGGTACACACCAAAATAGGTTGACAGATATGTAATAGCTTCAACTACTAGGAAATATCACTGAAAGGAATACAATGTATACATGTATACTTGTGGATTCACTGCTTAGCATAACACTAAGTAATTCATAAAATAATTATTCTAATTTTATTTTAAAATCTTTTCTACATTGTTTGACTGGTGAAAATTAACAAGTGCTGGATTAAAATCTTTTGTATGTTGTTGGACTAGGGAAAAATGAGCAAGTGTTGGATTCAAATGTTGATATGCATTACATGATAAAATTAAAATTCATTATCAGCTTCCTTTCCACCAACTTTCATCAGAAAGAATAACATTTGAGGCATGCAATCACAAGTATATAGAAGCATACTATCATATGTAATAAGCACTTACACAATATACCAATTTCTAAGATCATAAATAGAATGCTCATTTCTGAAAATTTCTTAGCTTTCCTCAGTCAAAAAATTTCCTACTTTTTTCTAATAGAGAATTCTTCAATTGACTTAATTGAGTTTTGTAAGTATCAGTTTGTTTTGTTTTGTTTATCCAAACATTTATAATCTAAGAGCTTAATATTGCTTACTTTGAATGGTCATGAAATCTGCAAAATTCCAAATCAATTCACCAATAAAAAAGCCTTTGTCTCGAAGAAAGTCAAAAGCTTTGTGGTGTTCCATTAGATACTCAGTCTGATAATCTTCTGTGAAAATAAATGCTGGGTCCTAGAATAAAAAGAAAAATATTGAGTAATTTGGATATGAGATGCAAAAAGTAAATATTTCAAATTTCAAATGTTTATTTACAAATCAGCACAATACATAGAAATGAATCAAACACATTTTTTCATAATATTTGTTTTGTAGAAAAGCAGTTACAAACTACTTACAATTACAGTGCTACTAACAAAATTTACCAAAAAGATGAATTGAAATTTTTCTAGTAATTTCTAAATCTTCAACAAATATGTGCTTATTTTCAATGTTTAAGCAGCTTGAAACACAAAAGTTAACATTTTCCTATACTGAAAATGTATTTCTGATAATACTTACATCCTCTCACATGTTAGCTTTATCCTGACAAACGTTTCTCTTCTCTGCCCACCTAAGCATTGGTATGAATCTTACCTCGCTTGCTCCAGCCTTTATACCCCACTATATTGCCCATAGCAAATTAAATCTTGTGATTCTCTCTACCTATGTTGATGCGACTTTTATCCCAGATCTGTACATATGCTCCTCATTATTACATCCTATTCACTTTTCAAGACGCTCTAAATTAGAACCCAAAACCAGCCATTTCATGTGAGAAGAGGTAAGCATTATTGGAAATACTTTTTGGTATAGGAAGATGCCTCCTCTCACACTTTAGTTACAATTCCACATTCACAAGGTTGAGGGGCTGGTGAGGGCAAGATCCACACAGAAAACATCTGTGTATAAAAGAGGTATGCAAAAAGTAGAATAATAGCAAACTAGATTAAACCCATTAAACCTTTCACCCTATTAGCCTGGGTATCATTTACTGTGCATGTCACAAAGTTTTAGTGACTAACATTCAAAATTTTATTAAACTACTTTTTATTTATGTTATACAAATTAGTATAGCATAAAATCTTTGATAATAATCCATATTTTAATATTATAAAAGTTTTAAGTTCTTAATTTTATAAGGCAATATTTTAAAAAACCTGAATTTCCAATGAGAAATGTAACACATTTTCTCTAGGCATCTCCTCTTCTCTATATTATTCACTACCCCTCCAATAAGTATGAAATTAAACGTAAATTACTCAGTATAAAATCGTCATTGTTCAGACAAACCACAATTTTTATAGCCTTCAATTTTGTTTGGTTACAGAGCCATCAAATAGAAAATCAAACCCCTTTTGCCATACCCACCTGTTACATCCTCTCTTTCAGGATTTGTTAATAGTTCTCTCTCTCACGTTTAATTCTATATTATCTATAACCAATAGAAAGCCAAGGTTTTTATCTATCAAATGATGTATTATATTACATTGTTTTTAAATGGAGAATTGAAAAACTTCTCTGTTAGTATGGGAAAGATAATGACTAGCTTGGATGAATTTGTAACAGCGCTTGTCACATTGTTAGAAAATTAGAAAAACTGTGATAAAGGAAATCGCCTGCTTTTTGTATGTTATTATTCAATGTTCTTTGGTGCATTATCTAGTTAAATAAAAATTATTTATTGCATTACTACCATTGGTATAAAAAAGTTGAGTTAAGTGTCATCAACACTCAACAGCAAAAAAAAATATTCGGATAAGTATTTTATTTCATGTTTATTCTTTATTTATATTATAAAAGTTACTAAAATGTAAAAATAGAGATCTCTTTAGGTTAGTTAGGGTTAGAATAAGTAAAATAAATAATAATATAACAAAAATGTTTCACGAGGCATGAGCACAAGCAGCTCGTGGGTAACGTAATTCAATAGTGTAACGTAATTCAATAGTGTAACGTAATTCAATAGTGTAACGTGAGCTCTATGTTCCCCAAGTGATTTACAACTTATAATGGTGCAAAAAGTAGTTAGACACGATTCGAAAGGCAATCAAATGGCAATAAAGCAATAAAAATTAATTATAAATATGTGTATACTGTTATGAGTTTAAAGCTACTTAGGTTAAACGAATGTAGTTTCATGTTACAATTTGAAGTTATTCTAGAAAGAAAAAAATGAAATTTAAGATTTTTGAGATGAAAAACAGTATTTTTAATCTTAACATGAAAATAACTTTCCACGTGTACTATTCAAAACAAATACTCATTACATTCACGGACAAACCATTTTTTTAGTATATTTAAAATACTTCAATAAAAAATACGACATTTTTTATATATATGAAAGACTTAAAATATTTATTGAAAGATTGCCAGATTTTGTGAAGATATACATACTATATTAGGGGTTAGTAGTGTCAAATCTATAAGGACTTTAAATGAGTAAAAGAAGTCACGTGGTTGGTCAAATCAACTGAGCTTATGTTGAGAGAGTTAATATGATTTACAGACCTTCACCTATACCTTTAAAAAAAAAGCAGCAAAAAATCATTTTCCATAAAGTTAACATGCTTTCAAAGAATAATCTTTTACTCATCAACATGTGTTCTAGTAAGAATGAACAACAATATACAAATACATCTTCCAGAACTCTCTTTCTTTTTTTCATGTAATATTCTATAATAGTCTTTATAATATATATGACATATCCTCCTTAGTATTATTACATTTACTGATTTTTTAAACAAGAGAACAGTTAAAAAGTTCCAACAATCTTGGTTAACCCTTTCACAACAGGAGCCTCTTTAAACACTTTTCTGCACAAGTCACTGTGTTTAATTAAACACCATTAATATCAATGTATGTAAATGAAATTAATATTATAATGTGTTATGATTCAAAGTTTTACTTTATACAAGTTTTAATTCCTTTTTTTTTTAAAATAAACATTTAAGAAACTACTTTAAACGTCAGATGTATTGTTATGTGACTAACAAGCTATGAAAATTCTTTACTTTGGCTCTCTGTATCTTCATTAATACAATGGTACTTGAGTAGACGTATGTCTAGACAATAAGATGCTTACATAATCTTTTGCCTTGATCATTTCAAAGTTCTCTGAATGAATACAGTTGAAACAAGTAATATATTTTTTCAACCCCTGACAGCTGCCATGCCCACTTTCAACAGATTTGTTTGAGCTATATAGATGTGTACATAACATGTGTATAATCATTAAAAAGATATCACTTTACACTATAATATAACAATGGTTATTTTGAAATTGGCATGCAGTTGTCATTGCAAATTATGTGAAACTGACTATAGTATTGTTGACTGCTTGACTGACTATAGCACTTACAGTTGTTTCATACCTAAATATGTTATAGCTAGAGATACAGTTTAAATTGAAATTATGTATTAATATTATATTTTAGTTAATTAAGTATTAGTTATGTTTTAAAATTCATAATTAAAAGGTTTAAACATTTTTTAAATATACATCATACTTCGCATCTGCTCCCAAGGCTTGCGATATTACACACTGAACGAAAATTTTGCCAAAGGGTTGCACATGTCTCCCAAAGAAACTGTAATATGCCTCAAGGGCACCTTTAACTTATGTCGAGATGAATAATAAGTGGTAAATGACAAAAAAAGAAAATAAAACATTAAAAATTATTTACATGTGAAAAGGAAAAGATCTGAAATTATGAATTTAACAAAAGCAAATTATTTAAAGATATTCTACTAAAAATTAAAAGATATGTTGTTTTTTTCTACTTCCTAATTTTAACTATTTCATTGCATTGTGTGTTGATGACAGTAGCTAAAGTTAGTGATATGGTAGAGAAAATGAAAAATAAAATATAAACATTTACTTTAAAAACTTTTGATATCCTTTTAGGAGGTCTTAGAGATTATGCAAATGAAATATGAAAACTATAAAATGAAGAAAAGTATTTTTGCACTTAAAATGAAATCACCTTGCACTCAATTTCTTAATAGTTTGAATGCAAGCAACTACAACAGAAAAATAACAAATTTTTAGTAAAACACTTAATTATAAAACTTAATATGTACTTAAAAACAAAAAAAAGTGTGAAGTTGGCACTGTGACAACCAATTTGTTACCATGTGCAATCCAACAACAGTATCAGCTCCATATTCACTTATCATGATAGGCTTTTTATATTTTTCGTAACTCTTTGTGAACACACTGATGGTCTGTTTGTAGATCACTTGAGTGTATCCAGGATCACTGTACCAACCAAAGTAGTGATTCTGCATGATCACATCCATAAATTTACCCTAAAATGATAATGAATAGTTGTCAATAACTGCAAGCTTTTAATTTCAAGTGTATTAAAATTTCTATAATCTACAATAAAAATATTTCTTTCAAAATATGTCTACAAACAGAGAAGTTTTCATGGCAATATCCATATCAACTTCAGTATGGTGTTAACCATGATAACTTACAAACCAGATATCTCTATTTAGTGTATCAAATTGTTGTTGTTTTTCATGATAAATAACTTAAGCATAATTTTTTACAATGAATTAAGAAATCAATAAAAATATATATCATTTTGTCTTCCTTAAAAAATCTATATCTACAAGATATTCTATAACCCTTATGATTAAACTCTTAAAATGGGATATGAAAAAAAATCAAAAACTTTACCAAATAAATTTTTAAATCTTTAATTCTAGAGTCAATCAAAAGTTACCAATCAGTAATCTCAATTTAAATGAAATTAATTTTTCAAGATATCAAAGCATAAGCTCTAGTTTAAGAGTTCTTTATGGATAAAGTTAAAACACAGATATGCTTAAATAACTATCTGTTTACATTCCATTAGTCTTGTTCTATAAAAACTAGAATTCTGTAAGTTTTGCAACTATTTCTTTAGATGAATTAACATAACTGAATACCCAGTAAATACTAATAATACTTACAGCCAGATCAGTTTCATATGGACCACTCAATGCTGCTGTTACAGGACGAGATGAATCTAATTTTTTTGTATGGTCCACTACTCTCCTATAAAGAATTAGTAGTACTTTTGGTGGCCATGTTGAACTAATGCATTATTTAAAGTCAGTTATATAATAATTAACCTTCTGCCAAAGTATATGTTATAAAACTAAAAAATGCTATTACAGGACAAGTTGAATTCATTACTTTTTTATGCTTCATATTTTCCCTAAAATCATATAACCTACATTACTGATGATGTCATATTACAATACAGCAAAGCCAAATAATATTTTTATCAAATACTTTTTTTACTGGTTTTACAGGCTTCTAATAAAAAAGAATGTCAAATGGCATTTCAACTAAATTTTTTCTGCTGATAAGGCCTTTTGCTCAATATTAGGGGATCACCAAGCCAGTTTAGTTATATCATATAAAATCTTAATTGATACACTTTTTATATCAGTCACTTGTGAGACATCTAGGTGTATGAGCTGACAAAAAATGGTAATTTACTAAGTAATAATTGTGATGTTATTGGTCTTAATATGATGTAACTTTACACCTATTATCTAATTAGGTTTAATGATTTGCCACCTTAAGCATTTTATAACCCTTAGACTTCAATTATCTACTTGGATTAGGGCAATTAAATCTTGGATAACTAAATGTTGACAAAAAAAAAACAAGACATTTCTCAAAACCACACTTCAGTATTGTAACTTTCACTATATACTGTAAAAGAAACATTATCTAGAATATTTTAAGCAACCTGAACATACAATCTCTAACCAATCTCTGGTATAAATAAACGAATTTAAAACTAAACAAACAATCTCTAACCAACCATATTACAGACAGAAGGTAGCTGTGATACAAGTTATTAATGTAATTTGCTCTTATAATAATTACATTCCCAAGTAAAATGCAATTATATTATAGATGGTGGAATTAAATATGTAGGTAGATTTAACTCTGATTTTTTTTTCACAACTTTTTCTGTTGAAAGAAATATAGGCTTCTACACACTATTAATTTATTTTTCTAATACAGAACAGTTTTAGTAAATACCTATCCACTTATTTTCTATAATATCCGACAGGAAAGAAATGACACCATTGTTGTTCTAAATATAAGAAGATTCTGAATCATCTCAGGGCTTACTTGAAATAGTTTTTTGCTTCAGGTTCAGAGGATTTTGGTTCATTTGCAACAGACCACATCACCACCGAGGGATGATTTTTATCCCGTTGTATCATTTCAGTCATTACTTGTAAATGTTTTGTGAGCAATACAGAATCAAAGGCACTGAAAAACAAGTTAATATTTGTTTTCATTTACTTCAAAAAATTTCAAACAAACAACATCTTTACTTCTTATATATTTACATATTCATTATTTTCTATAAGAAAGTATCTTATGTTCCTGTTTATAGACCAGTTATTAAGAAAACAGATGCTATCTAAAAACCTTACATTCAAGAAAGATAAAATATACACTGTACCATTTAGAATGAGTTCTCAATCAATGATAAAATACACAAATTCTAGTTTTGAAGGTATTTCTTTAAACATAAAAATTTAGAGAGATTTTATTTAAGTACTTAATAAAATATTTGGTTAAAGTTGAATGATTAAGGATGTGAATTGAAAGTCCTAGCACCTATTTTTCTGATTTGTTCAATATTTAGTATGATTGCATTTCTCTAGTATATAATGAATCAGGATATTATCACCACATGTTAACATGTACACAATCCTAGCTCAAGTTACTGTCAAAACTTATTAACAGTAAAGAATGCTGGTTAACTTCTACTTACACTGGCTCAGGTTACTGTCAGAACATATTAACAGTATAGAATACTGGTTCAGTTATTGTGCTTACACTGTCTCAGGTTACTGTCAGAACTTGTTAACAGTACAGAATACTGGTTAAATTCATCTACTTACACTGGGTCAGGTAACTGTTCAAAACTTATTAATGGTACAGAATACTGGTTAAGTTCTTCTACTTACACAGACTCAGATTACTGTCAGAACTCATTAACAGTACAGGATATTGGTTAAGTTCTTCTATTTACAGTGGCTTAGGTTACTGTCATAACTTTTTGATGAGAGAAATACTGGTTACTTTTTGTGCTTAAATTGCCTGAGGTTATTGTCAGAATATGTTAACAGCATAGAATACTGGTTATATTCTTCTGTTTACACTGGCCCATATTAGTGGTGGAATGTGTTGATAGCAGATAATACCCACTACATTGATCTGTTTACACTGGCCCGTATTAATGGCAGAACATGTTGATAGCAGATAATACTGGTTACATTCTTCTGTTTACAGTGACTAAGGTTACTATCAGGTTTTTCGTTAACAGAAATCAATGGATGTATTTTTTTCTGATTTACAATAAATCAGATTATTCTTATAATTCACATCTTCCTATCAGAAAACACTTTTTAAAATAATCTGGTTTTCAGTAGTGAAAAAAAAAACATTACAAACAGTGTCTCACTTATTCAGAGTGGGTTATTATTTGTACAATAATTACACTACTTACAAATCAAGAAGTCAGAGCTCTCAACATAAACTTACTCTAACCCCACAGCAGGACTTTCATCAATAACAACTATTCCTTGTTTATCAGCTTGGTCCATTATCTCTTCAGCATAAGGGTAATGTGATGTACGGAAAGAATTTGCTCCAATCCATTTTATTAGGTTAAAATCTTTTACAATAAGTGGAAGGTCTACCCCTCTGCCCCGAATCTATCAGAAAATAATTATAGTATGGTTCCATTATTATTATTAAAGGTCTTACATGTGAAAGTATTCAGTAAGCAAGAATTACATCATCAAATATTCTCCTATCCTTAGCCTTAGTACATTTCAGGTTATCTAGCCAATACTGCATTAACAGCAGCACAATAAAATGAATAACTTCTTCCAACATATGTCCAAAATATAAAAATAACTTAATAATATACCCAAACATATGTCCAAAATATAAAGTCTTAATGGCATACATTTGAATCTTCATGTTTTCCAAATCCCATAAAGTAGAAGGGCTTTCCATTGATAAGGAAAGTTCTGTCAGTAACTTCCACTGTGCGGATACCAACAGTTTGGTAGTACACATCTTTAATGTTGCCACCTAGTAAAGTCACCTGAAAAGCAAACATTCAAGTATAAACACAGAATTTAAAGAAAAATTAATTACATATTCAAATTTGTATATGAAATATATAGGTATAACTGAACATTTGATTTTATAATTTAAAAACATTTTTTCTTGAAATCATGAAATATATATAATTATTGAATTCCATAACAAAATAATTCTCTTCTTCTTTTTAAGAAATGTTAAAAGATAATGATAGATATAACTAATATAAACGATAAAGTTTGAAATGAGCACTGACTTAAACAAAAACCTGGCACTAGATTCAATCCTATATACAAGTGTGTTGTAATTTATTCACAATTCAGGTGTAATATGCTAATATTCTTGATATGATTATAGAAATCAACATTCACAGTTTATTTCACAAATTAACAATATTTTTAATTCTATATCTTCAAATGTACTTAAGTACCTAAAATCAATCAATCAGATCTACATACTGCCATCCAACACTTAAATTCACAATCTTCATTCACATAGAATTCCTGTCAGATTAGTATCATACATCTGTTAAAAATAAACAAAAATGGGTGCTACTATAGCGTGAGGTCTACCTCCCGTTAGTACTATAGCGTGAGGTCTACCGCTGCATTATCCATCCCTCATGGATATCACACATTTCCATACATTTATTTTAGCGACAAACACTTAATTTGTACATATCCTAGGAATGACTTAAATAGATAATTGGTTTTCTAATTAAATTTATATTAAAGGAAGAAAGGTAAAAATAAACATGTTATCATCAACAAGCGTATGTGGGCATAACACCAGAAAATGGACTATGGTAAGGTATATGTAGCTTTGCTGAAAGGCTGTAAACTTAATGAAAAAGGTTTTTGCCAGAAGTTCAGAGAAGTCAAAGTGACACTGGAGGAACTATATTTCAGTTGTGGTACATCTACGGTGATACTTCACAAGGTGGACTGATATGGCCAAGTGTGAAGATAGTTTTGAAGGACTGGCAGATTTACTAATACATGAACAGTTTACGATCATGTGCTTCACTGATGTGTCACTGTTCCTAATAGAGAAATCACTGAAAGACGTAAATGAGATGATGAAGTTGGCAGAATAGTATATGGAAGCCCATGGAGGGAGCATAACTGGCAAGTCCAAGAAGTCAACAGATGAAATCAAGAAGCGATGCTATATTTGTTATAAAATGGGGCACATTATGAGTAAGTGCAAATCTGTCAACAACAAGCAACAGCATAAATCTTAACATAAAGCAGCTGGGGCTACCTACAAAAATGGTGCTGGCAAGAAAAAAAAGTGACCGTCACCATGGATGCTGCAGCCAGAAGAAACAGAATAGAGACAACTCATCAGATTCACCACAAGAAGAATATGCTATCATTATGATTAAATAGTGCATGATTGATGGTAAACTCAAGTTAATAAGTGGTTTGACAGTGACAGTAATGATTGGAGCACGTGACAAACATCGAGAGGTGCCAACAAACCATAAAATGCCAACAGATGAAGGCTATATCAGAGTCAAAAAAGTGACTAGAAAAGGGGCTGGAAAAAGAAGGTAGCGTTAAGAGTCGGTAACTTATGCTTTGTAATTTTGAATATGCTGAATCTGAAAATTTAGATTAAAAAACATTCTTTCTCCTCTAAATGCCCCTAATTTGTATTTAAAGTTGCCCTTGTCAGGTACAGATGCTAGTGGTCCAATTAACTCCACAGCTACTATACTGAATGACTCTTTTATGAGAGGCATCTTGAGCTGGTCACATCTCCAATAACCCCTGGCCAATGGAAGTTGATAGTGATTCTGTCTGCTATCTTCTTTGCTCCTAGGTGTCCTCCCACAATCAACTTCATGAGTCAACTTCATCACTTGAATCCGGTATTTTGTTGGTAGTATGATATGTTTAACTTCCCTAGTAAAACTGCTTTGATAGATCTGGTACAGCACTCCCTTCCAGTCCAATATTCTGCAAGTCTCTTTCCCCTTTGTCTTGTTCTTGATTTTCTCCCGGGCACTGTCTTAAAGTTTCTGCAGGGAAGGGCCTTTCTTCTGTGCTTTCTTCAGTTCCCAACGACCTACAATTGGGATTTTACCTTTCGAGACTTGCGAGGGCTTAATGACTTGTTTGTTTTTCTTTTCTTGAGCTCTTGTTGTGACAGTAGATGCCTCATCAATCTCCTCTGTCTGATTCCTCCAAACTTCGACTGCCTGGTATATTGCCAATCACCAAGTTGTAGATGGGTGCTTTCAAACACATGGCTCCAGGGTTTCCCATGTAGTATGGAGTGTCCAACTTTAATCTTGTTATGCAAAGCTTCCTCACTGTCCAATCCATAAGCACACATAGATGTACTTTGCCCATCATTTGCACATCAGATACTAGACTGGTTCTCGCTGCTGCACCAAATATCTCATAGGATTTTATAGGTACTAGGCTGTACAAACTTATCTAAAAGTTCAATACACCTGTACTACGCTGACGTAACGTGCTGAGCACGTAATCATGTTGCATCTGGCATGAGAGATACCAACATTATATATATATACGAATAATGTTTAGCATTTGGGCAAAACCTTAGGTAAAGACGGAATGCTTGCAAAGTTTCGCTTCATAGAGAAAACAACAACAACAACAAAAATACTTCCAAGCATTCCAAATGAATTGTTCGTGTTCAAGACTGAATAATGACGAACTAAATTTAGTTCCTTTCAATGATACAGATTCTTCTTCGTATGAAACCATCCGCCATCTCCCTAAGCAAACACAACAACTTGAGTCAGGTACGTCGATCCATAAGTCAATAACAAATTATGATAAGCATTCAATTTAATTAATTATTGTAGTTTAAGTACAATGTAGGAATTATTTTCACTGTGATTGAACGTACTTATAAAGCTATTACTACGTTTGTCTGGTAGAACGTT